CTCCTACCCCCAACAGCCTCAGCTTTCTAAAGAGCACCCCATGGTCAACTTTGTCAAAAGTTTTAGCAAAGTCCAGGTATATCACGTCCACGCCAGCTCCCTCTTCCAGCTGGGCCACCAGACGGTGATGGTGCTCCAGTAACTGCGACCAACAGGGACGATTACGCCGGAAACCATGGTGTCCGTTATTAAACAGGTCAACCTCTTCCATATACCGGACAAGCCTCCTGACCACTACCTTCTCAAAAACCTTGATCACAGGTGAGGTCAAGGTCACAGGTCTGTAATTTTGGGGTCTGGTTTGGGTTACACTCTAGGTTTATTTCGTTACTCTCTAGGTTTATTTCGTTACACTCTCGGGTTATTTCGTCACACTCTAGGTTTAGTTCGTCACACTCTAGGTTTATTTCGTTACACTCTAGATTTATTTCGTTACACTCTAGGTTTATTTCGTCACACTCTAGGTTTATTTCATTGCAGTCTAGGTTTATTTCGTTACACTCTAGGTTTATTTCATTGCAGTCTAGGTTTATTTCGTTACACTCTATGTTTATTTCGTTACACTCTATGTTTATTTCGTTACACTCTAGGGTTATTTCGTCACACTCTAGGTTTATTTCATTGCAGTCTAGGTTTATTTCGTTACACTCTAGGTTTATTTCATTGCACTCTAGGTTTATTTGCTAATTTTCTCGTCGCAATATCGGTTATTTATGAGAGGTTATGGGGCTGTCAGCCTGCGGGACGGACTGTGCAGAAGCCCTACACCTGCTGACGAACTGGTGCGTGTGTGCGTGTGGTGTGTGTGTGTGGTGCGTGTGTGGTGCGTATGCTGTCTCTTATACACATCTAGATGTGTATAAGAGACAGTTCTAGAGTTCTACAGACACCTTAATTTCCCAATCAGTGGCTAGCACAGCAGTGACCTGAAGTTGGAGATTTTGCGCCACGCCATCGGGGACATTTTCACCACCGCTTTTTTGAGGACCTATAATTTCAAATGATTTTCGTATTTTCAGCTGAAATTTTGGCCTATTCGGGTTGAAAAATAAAATAAAATGTGTTTGATCCTCTATGAAAATAGTCAGGTGGGTACTCATGGTTCACATG